TTTTTTCAATTTACCCATCTCAGCACATCAGAAAAATAAAATTTACTAACCTTAGCTTGGATCCAAGAGTGAAGTCCATGTCCGGGTGGGGTCGCTCATCATCTCCTTTCTCCTGTAAAAAGAAACGAAAAACAAAATTAGATTTCTTCAATTAAACCAACCTAACAACCCATAAAACTAAAATTTACTAACCTTAGCTTGGCTCCAAGAGTGAAGTCCATGTCCTGGTGGGGTTGCGCATCAACTTCTTTGTCCTGTAAAAAAAACCAAAAACTAGATTAGATTTTTTTAATTTACCCATCTCAGCACATTAGAAAAATAAAATTAACTAACCTTAGCTTGGATCCAAGAGGGAAGTCCATGTACGGGTGGGGTTGCTCATCATCTTCTTTGTCCTGTAAAAAGAAATGAAAAAACTAGATTATATTTTTTCTGTGTCTGTACATAAAAACAATACAAACAAGGCAGCAAAGCTGTCAAATGTACAGACAAAAACCAGAAAATAAAAACGCAGGAAATAGGATACTGTCAATTTTGATGCACTAATGTATTACTGTAACTGCATAGCCAACATCAAATTCTAATTCTGCATAACAGTGGATTAGGATGAAACTAAAATGTGTAACAAGCATTAGACTGAGTTCCCATACCTAGATCAATCTAACAGGATCAATCCAACTCCAAGGGGTTTCTCACTAAATTCCTTTCAGCTTAAGCGGCTTAGGATTCTGGCATGCCAGTTTCAGTAGGCGTGACAAACAGCTAAGCCACTTACATTGATTGCAATTTAGCAAGAATTCTCTTGGAGATAGATCGATCCACAGTTAGTGTGATAGGGTCTGGAAATAGTCCCTAAGGCTTCAGGCTGATAAGAGTTAAATGTCCAATTTGCAATATCTGTGTCTGTACATAAAAAGGGGAAATCACTTACTCACACTTGAGAGAAAATGCACATCAGCCTTAGAAGAGAAACACGACATCCAAACAAGCGTGACCTAAATTGGGTATATGAAGGTTTTGGTTCTAGCCTCAAAGGGCATTCAACTTTCAAAAACGACCTAGAAACATGGGCGTAAGAGGAATATGAGAGAAATGAAAAGAGAGTATGACAATTGACATGGTGGCACTTACCCATCTCCAGTAGCTTGGATTTCAGGCCATTTACGATTAATGTTTTTCTGCGGCGGTTATTCGACGTTCGGGCTAAAAGCTGAGTGTTATTTGTACATGTACATTTCCCTGAGCGACGAGTTCGCATGTATTGAAGGGTCGAATTCACAGAAGTACACCATGGGGAAAAGAGCAAACATTCGATGTTTTGTGCTAGTAAAGAAACTATCCTCAGGTTCGATGCATTGGCATAGGATCACATGAGATTTGAAGGCGGTTGCCCGAAGAAAATCGCTCTCACTTCGCGTCCCTTGTACTCCTCTGGAGTGAAACGCAACATGTCCATCCCGTTTCACAATTGCCCGCTCTTAGACTTCCAATCTTAGATTG